GAATTCAGCCCTTTTGTCAGCACAACAGCGAGCATCAAAGGGTGGCATGCTCCTCCGAGGAAGCAGCTCCCCTTACCGGAGGGTGGGTGGAGAAAGCCCAGGGAAACTGGGCTTGAGGGCTGTCGAGGGTACGAACACCCCTTCAGCTGGGGCGATGACCAGCGGGGAACCCAAGCATCTCAGCTTCCCGGCTGGAGGGTTGCGCTCTTTGTCTACTCAGGAGAACACAGGATTGTGTCAACCTGGCACGTGGAAGTAGCTAGTTCTCACCCCAGCTCTCAGGAGTTGAGAGCAGGAGCCACTGCTGTCGTGATAGTCTTCAGACCACGGCTGGTGGTTCCTGGGGCACAGGTTGCGTGCTCCCCGAGGGCCCTTGCTATGGCTCAAAGCTCAGCTAGGCAGCAGCAGAGTCTAAAAGGACCAATACAGTAAGCACCAACTGTAGGAAATGTGGAAAGCAATGTCTCCATGTGACAACCAGCGTTAGGGCGTGCCACAACTTGTGAAGATCGCCATACGTTCACGTGAGTACAGCATCCCCCCGGTTCACCGCAAACTCGAGCAGTCACTCTTTATAGCATGGAATTTTCTAGGCACAGGGTGAAGCCAACATATATGAGTGAAGGGGCTGTACTGCAGGACCTGGTCACTTTATGGTTTTCTATGTAGAGCTTTTATTATTTTGCTTACTTTTTTTTGCATCAAAACAGATTGAAGAGATGACTTTCTAAAAGCAGAGTCAGGCTTGCCCGAACTCTAGAAAGTGGGCAAAAGAGAGTGTGTCGCATCAGAAAAAGCGCTGAAAACTGATGTTTCCTCTGACTGCACCTGGGGGAAAGCCTGGTGGGCTGCCAGAACAGCAGCCCCACAAGGCCAGCTTCGTGTCATGGTCAGCACAGCGCATCCTGGCCCTGGCACGCCAGGCAGCTCTCGGGGGGCAGGAGGAGGCAGCCTGCCCTCCCCAGCCTGGCCACGCTCTGACCCAGCACACGGACCTCAGAGCAGACCCCAGCTGCCCAGAAGCTCTTTCCTGCTGCCAGTCTTCTAAACCAGCCAGTCCTCTTTCAAGTGCGTTTTTAGCATCTTCACTTAACCGTCAGTAGAATTTGAAATTGGCCACTGTATGATAACACCTCATCTCCAGCATGCTTCCACTAGTGAATCTTAAATATTCACTAGTCTTCTGTGAATCGTGAGGGCATGGTCTTGGAGAAAGGAGTTAATATAAAGAGGAGATAAGTATTCTACTCATTATCTGCGAAAAGAACATCTACTTTAGCTATTCAAAATAGATAATCAGTTCAGCAGCAGAATAAGCTGATTATGAAACATGTAGGTATTTTCTCTGGCAGGACAGAGAGACATATTACTAAGAAAAAGAAAACTGGAAGAATTTCAGAATTATCTGTTTATTACCAAATAGCTGTTCTTGGCTAGAACCTCCATGGTGGGTACAGCAGAATGTACTAAACCAAATTCGGCCTGTGTTGCACCAGCTAAAGTCCAGAGGAACTGCTCTGAGGTCATCTGAAGTCAAATTCGCAGAACTGGGCAAAAGTCCTGCATAGATTTACACCCGTGATTAATTTTATACCACATGCTGTCCTGCTGAGATCGCAGGGATAAAGTGTGTGCACGGTCAAGTCAAGGTTTGAGCTCCAACCTAGATTTACACCAGTGTAAAGAAAAGCCCTACCAGCCCAGTATTTACGTTATTCAGGCCAAGGAAAAAATGTAGTGGCAGCTGTGAACAGTCTGAAAATCAAAACCCTGATGGGAGGACCTTCACACAGAGGTTTGGGTTGTTGTTGCAGCTGACTCTCTGCATCCCCTTTATCTTTTTTTTTTTTCTTCCCTTTCAGAAATGTTTGACCTTAAATGCAAAAGGATAACATGGGTCAGGAGGAGTGTTTATTATGTATGAGCTATTTTTCTTTCATGTTAGCAAAATCCTTTTGTAAAAGTTGGCAGAAGTCCTTGTTACAGCTAAACTTCAGACCCATGGGTGATCTGGAATTTAACATTATTTATGTCTCAGTATAAAAAAAGCAACGAAAAGGAAGCAAATTCTAAGAAAATAATCAGAACACAGCTGAGGTCTGGTAGCTTTACTTTTTTAAACCATTCAAGTCTATCACTGCCCTCATCTTCACTGATGTCTTATAACTATTCCAGCGGTTTGAGGGCTTCCTATGTAGAAGCTGGAATATTGGTAGAAATTACACATCACACTTATTTCTATGTTGTTTCACAGGCAAGGAGCATGAAGCACTGTACAGATTCAAAGAACTAACTTGCACAGCAGAGCTCCTATTTACAGGTGTGCCGACACTAGCTGCTCATTAACACTAATGCATTAATAGCAGTGCACAGATTTTGCAGTTTAAATCCTTTGCAATACAGGTACGGGGAGGAACACTGAGTGGGGATGAAATCCTGCTGCCACCATCACTGAGGTCCCACTCCAACCTTTTGTCCCCCAGCCCATGGCTTTTCATTGGGTTGGGACGACAAGCAGCCAGACTCTGCAATCCTCGCTCCCTCTACGTGGTACGTGGTTTCTCAGCAATTCGCCTCTTGGCTCCAGGATGCTATTTGTACCATAAGAGTAACTGCTGAGTCTGAACGAGAGCTGAAGTTCAGCCCTTGGCTGCCAATGTTGTCCAGGCTTACATCGTTGCAGAGACGATCGCTCCTGAAGGGTGGGGTTGCAAAAGACATTTTTAGGAAAGGGTTATTTATGTTTGCTTATTCCCAGAATGGTCCCACGGTCAAACCCGTACTGGCTGCTCTTCCAAGCCTCATTTACTTTCAATTAACGTACACAAAAATCTAAGGTACAAGTTCTTAAAATATTCAGAAAACAGGTTTGCTTCTTGTCTGTGTTATTTCACAGCGATCTTCCAACAAAGTTAAAGAAGACCACAGCTGCTCCTTATACAAACATGCACAAGAGAAGACACTCTCAAAAACCTTGTATGATCACAGGCAGGGGCCAATCCTAGTGACGGGACAAGCTCTACCCACACTTCTCCCTTGGCCACTCATTCTTCCAGAAGACCTCTCTTCAAACAGACACCACTCCTTGATTCAATAGTTCATCTCTCCAATGCACAGAACATACAGGTGACTAAAATAAGAAAGCAAGCGGCACCAGGCAGCCCCTCCAAAACAGCTCCCCAGGAGCTGGAGGAAGCTGTTATTACTCGGCGTGGGGTTGAGATGAGCTTTGAAGAAGAACACATTTAAATGCACAATAGTTTTCACATTGAGGCGTCCTCCCCCTCCAGCATCAGCAGACATTAAATATGTGCATACTTAATGCTTTGCAAGCTCCGCAGCAATCAGGTTGGATCAGCAAAGGGAACTTGCCTTAGTAATTCAGGTGTCTGTGTAATGTCAGACCCTGGAGGTACAGCTAGGGTGACATTTTCAGAAGTATCTAAATTTCTTAGACTCTTCAAGCTCCATTGAAACTCACTTGAGGTGAATTTGAATGGAACTTAGGCTCCCAAATCTCTTTTGTGTTTTAGAAGGGGTTAGCTTCTGTCTTTAAATTTTGCAATAAATAACAAGCAGACCCTGCTTGGAAAGTTAGGTGTAGAGTAGGAGTTTGGATAGCATGATCATGAGCATAAATGAGCACATTTCCTTTGAATATTAAAAGTATATTTAATGTGGTGCTCAAGGTCACACAGCAAATGAATGGGCAAAACTGAATCATAGCCCTAAGGGTGTATTACTTGCAATCAGATGCAGGAGTAATTGAGTAATTGCACAGACTTAAAAGCAGCATTACATCAACTTAACATATGGCTAGAAAGGGGCTTGGGGAGGTTCAGTGATTTGCTGAAGGGGAGAAAGAGTCAAGAGCAAGGCTGACATTATATATGAACAGCTAATTTCCTTGCACAGGTAACCTGGCACTGGAAAGTCTCCTACTAATTTATACACCATAAAACCTTTAGTGTCATACTTTTCAGTATCCACCGCTGGAAATACTAAGAGTCACCCACTTGAAGGACACATCTTACTGACTGTTGGCACTGTGTTGGGAGAACTGGAGATGAAAAACACTCAGTGACTTGGCTCCGACATCCAAGCTGGCAAAACACTAGTAACGACTGCTGAGTAGGTACGTCCCTGTGCGTGGCAGTGAGAACGTGCCCCTTGGCTATGGAGCTTCAGCAAGAGCTGCTGGCCCAGCAGCCTGCTTACCAGCCCTGCCTGACAACCACTTGCCTCTCACTTCAGCTGTCAAAATTCTATTTATGCTACTGCAGTGTTTCCCATTTCCTAATTTGGATGGTTCCCTCAGTCATTTTTCCACTAAAATGCTCAAGCGTTTTTTGAAAACATCTAAACAGGAAGAGACCTGACCTCTCCTCCCCGAACATTGTGTGCTCTCTTCTCCTGGCGACAGAAGATCACTCCTGTGCCAATGGCCGTGGTGACTCCAGGACAAACCGAGGGGTGGATGCCATACCTTGGGACCGACTGCACAGGGGCTCTGCTTGTGTGCGCTGAAGAGTGTGCACGGCTGGTCTCAAAGTGTTCAGTGGTCTTAGGATTTCAGTCAAAGTCCTTCCTATTCATGCCCAGCATGCCCCCCTCATTCCAGCTCACTGCCATGCCTGACCGTGCGGACGGATCCGGGGCTATGGTTGGCAGGTCATGGAGGAACCACCCCACAGCTCTGAAACCAAAGGAAAAATGCCCACTGACTCAATTGGTCTGATGTTGAGCCAGATACTTAATTCAGGTAGATACTGGGCAGCTCCTCTCCTGTGCGCTTTCACTGGGCACAGAACGGTTTTGGGGTCTGTTTCCACTTGGAGACCTGCTGGCTCTGGGGCATCATTGCTGCCTCCTCATCTGGACAGGTACGGCCCCTGAAGCAGAGCCATCGCTTCCCGCCATCCAACCGCTTCCAGTGAAGGCCCCAGGGAGGAATTTCTCTTTCGCTGGGATGGACAAGCTCCACACCTCAGGAGCCTGACCTGTGCCTGAAGTCCCTTGCTGCTGAGACGAGGGATGCAGCAGGCGCAGAAACCTCGTTAGCTGTGCGCGCACCAAGGCCAGCCCCAGCCAGGCTGCAGGACCCACGGGGGTGCGGGGGGTGCCAGGAGGGGGGACCCTTTTCTGGGAAGGGCAGTGCTGCCCTCGGCAGATGCCGCACACCATGCGCTTTAGATTAGGCAAACTCCCTAGCACATTGCATTAAAACGTTAAAAAGTTAGGCAGCTCTGAAGGGAGAGCCTAGAAGCAAACTGAAGAGGCAGCTTGCCTACAACTAGTAAGTGCAGACTCTCCAGGCACCAGCAGATCACAGCTGCAGGGGCACTGCGCTCAGCCACGGGGAGACCGGCATGAGTCTGTACGAATCCAGCCGACATGGGAGCGGGATGAATGGGAAGAAGTCTTCTGACTTCAGGAGGAGGAGAAGCTAATGCACTTCCCTTCCAGGAGTTTTCACTTAGCCTTAGGAAAGGAGTGAAGCAATGCTAAAGCCTCTGTCAAACCACGCGGCTGTGCAGGCGACAGCTCAGGGCAAGCTGCTAGGACAGCCAGTTACCTGCCTTGCAGCCCCAGTCCCCTCACTGCCCTCCTCCCAGCAGCTGCTCTGGGGCCGGGCTAACCACGCTGCTCTTCGACATACCCTAGGCTTTCCTTGGTGAGTTTTAATTGCCAGGCTCCAGATTCAGCTCTTTCACTGGTGCAGATCAAATGCTGACACATCTGAGGGTGACAGAACAGCACGGGGGTGAAAAAAAAAAAAAAAAGTGAAAGGAAACTCAGGGCCCTGTATGTTTCTGTGCCCACACATTCCTCCTGCAGAGCACTTGGTTCCAGCTGCCTCCCAGCCCGCGCCTTATCTGCACTCTCCTTGAGAAACCCTAATGTGTCCGGAAATCACATTTAATATATACACCAGTATATATTAAACATACTAGTGTGAGGGCCTTGCAGCAGTTTGGTCATGCTGCGGAATTAATCTGAGATTGGTGATAACTGCAGAAAATTGGATTTATGTTAATTTTTTAAGTGTTGGGGGTTTTTATCCCAAAGACTTGCTGTTCTAAGCCCCAGCCCCATCCTACAGAAGTAAACCTGTTTGTTAGACAACGCCACCCTCCCACGCCACGCAGGAGAAGGCTTCCTTCCTCCCACTCCGGCAGTAGTTGAGGCTCGGGCCGGCAGTCTCACGTGGCGCTGGCTGCTCGGAGCAGGAGCCAGGCTGCGGCTGTCGCCCCGTGGGCTGATGCTGATTCCCCAGCTGCCAGCTCCCACCTCTGCCCACGTCCCGGCCCCGGCTGAGCACGGGGAGCCGGCGCTGGGCTGCTCCCGCCCGCTGCAGGGATGCTGCGTTCGCCAGACCGGGGTGATCCTCCCAGGCGGGGGGACCACAGCCCCGGCCAGCCCCTGGGAACCCCCAACAAGCCACAGAAGATGCACCGCCGCCTCCTCCATGAGGACCTCACTCAGCCTTAAGACACTCAGGCGGGACAGCCTAGAGAAGCGTTTGCTGGTTTTCTTGGTGGTCGCATGCATCCCACCCTTTCTCTTCTCTCCATGTATCCTGAGCATCCGTCCTCCCACCCCCACCAGAACAGGGAAGCAATGGGTTTTTGAAACGCAGTGAGGCTCCGCCATTTGCCCAGAGCTGAAACTGGACTCTGACCCCCCAGCGCGGAAGGGTGGCCCCTAACCAAGAAACCCGTCTTCTCCTCCGGAGGAGCAACCTGCTCTGCTCAAAGCACCTTTTGCTGTGATAGTTATTGCAGGTGGTGGATGGGAATGATAGGGTGGCTCAAGCCTCACTCTCTAAGGAGAAAGCAGCACAGTAAGTATTTTGGGAGACTCCTAATATTAAGGCACAGTCACTAACTGTGACTAAGTAAGATTTGTACATATTCTGGACTGGTGCCAGGCAGGGGGGGGAAGGCAATCCCAGACGAAACAAAATAATAATGTGTTATTGGTCAGGAAGATTCATGTGGTGAAAATTAATAGTAGCGAGTGGTTTGCAGCTATACCCCATCCATCTTGTCTGCTGCAGAGAACACGCTCCTCGGTGTATGTGCAGCACGATGTCTGACATTCAGGTCACAAGCTGTAATTTAAATTTCTCCAAGTTCTTCTTTGTTTAATGTGCTATCAGTTTGGAAGCAGTTCAAGGAAAAATCCCTGCGATTTGTCCTTCTAGCTGCTTTAAACAACTCTCTAGCTTCTCTAATTAGTAGCCTAATCAGTTAAAGCATTGAACATATTAGAGCCCTCCACTATGGTGGTCTGATGAGACATGCTGTGTCCACAGCCTCAGTGGTGACTGCAAGAGCAGAGCTGCTACAGATTGAAAGGCAATGAGGTTCAAAATGAGTTTTCTTTCTAGATGACTTTGGAAAACCACAGGCTTTTTAGGAATTTTTTATTAATTTATGGACTCTTTTGAAAATCCCTTACACCCTGTAAGAGTATCTTCATGTGCTGACATAGCAGGTAGAGCCACAAAGGGAACAGCCCTGTTTTCTGGAGATGGGGAGAAAAAAAGAATTGGATTCATACACACACTTGGAAAAAAGCGTGGTTTATAAAGTTAAAATGTTGCTTTGCCTTTTCCCCTCTTTGGCAGTGGTATCTATCTGACAGGGAACTGCTCATCATGGCCAGCCTGGGAGTGGGCTCTTGGTCTTTGAAGGTCACTTGTGGGGGATGTCCTGCGGCACAGAATGGTGTGAGCCGAGGTTGGTGTGCCGCTGCTGTTCGGAAAGAACTCTACTACTCATAGGCACATACCACCTTAGGTTAGGTTGCTCCCCGCAGACTCTGGGGCATCGGGACTAGTAAGGGCTCCACGATGTGCGAAGGTCCCCGGCTCTGTCCTGCCGGGAGGAGACCGAGGGCAGCCGCACCCTGCGATCCAGGGGGGCACGGGCAGCGGCTCCCTTCCCCGCGCACCGGTCCTGCCTCCCCTCGCAGCGTGCCTGCACCCGCCCGCGTCCCTGCGTGCAGGGAGGGAGCAGTGTCCTGTCCGGGGAGCTGCTCTCCAGGTTGAAGACCAGCGATCAGAGCACGAGATCCCCGCTCAGGCTGGGCAGATCCTGGTCTCAAGAGAAGTGATGCTACTGAACACGAGGAAAGACTACCGCCCTCCATCCCAGGTAACACCTGGATGTGTCATCTGTTCAGTCTGAGATTGTCAAGAACAAGCTCATTTTTGATGGCGGATGAATGCAGCAGAGTGATGCCATCGTTACTTCAACAGCTGCACTTCACCGAAGACCTGCCTGGGTACGGGTGGTGGTGTGGCCTCGCCAGGCTGAGTCTGTACATAAATCACTTCCACCAGGAGATCTTAAATGCTGTCATTCATTTATTTATTCAGCAAATGCATCTCACTCTAATCTCCTTCTAGTCTTTTAACAATATACCCATTTTTTTATAAAGCTGTAACGAGTTTAGAAGATGACTTGCCTATCTCATCACCAGCCTGCCCAAACCCGACCACGTACATATTCTACCACTGCTCAGCGCAATGTTCAATGAAAAAGCACACAAAATTAATGTTCCCCGCGCTGCTGAGCTGATTAAAGATTCAACCGAGATGAGAGAGAAAGCCCAGGGCCCAGCGTGGTTTCCTGTGCACCTATAAATAGCTGTTTGATGTGGTTTAGGTCGGTACCAGCCGGCTGCACGAGCTCTGGCCTCCATTTGCCTCGTGCTGGTGGGAATGGGACTGATGGCAAAACGTGTCCCCCTTGGAGCAAGAGCTTTTGAAACACAGATAGGGTGCTCCTGCTAAATTAACTGATGCTAATGAGGGTTTGCCGTTTGCTGCAGTGGGAGAAGGGCCACTGGATACCTGCCAGAGGAGGGGTCCCGTCGGGGTCACCCCCGTGGGCCACCAGCAGGTGAACCTCTTTATTCACCTGTTGGTCTCTCTGACTTTGCTGAATGACATATGAAATCGAGGAATGTTTCCAAAATGCTCTAAAAGAAAAGAACAGACATAAAGATGCTATTTACTTGCTTCGGTCCAACAGCGGGACGTTAGGGAACAGCCTCGCCCCTGCTGTGGGTGGGTTGGGTGGGGGTCCCCAGCACCAGTGGCACTCCTGGTCCCCCGCTGCAAACCCAAGCACGCTGTGACATCTAGTGGCAAGTTACCCTGAGAGCCCAGAGAAAGCTGCTTTTGATAGGTCTTCCCACAGTCCCTGTACAACCGGCCACAGACATGTCTGCTTTAGTACACACTCTTCAGACTCATCTTTATGCATAATTATATATTTATGTGTAACAGCAAGTATGATGGCTATTTCTCCTTAGGCCAAGAAGCGCTGGTGAAAGGGACGGTATATCCACCTCGGCAGACAGCTCTCATCTTCCTTGCACTAGGTGGGAAGGTCCTGTCCTCCTGTCCCAGGTAGCCATCGAGTGAACCGCTCTGCTGGCATCACCTCCAGAGCCACGGCTGCAGCTGCACAGTGGCACAGGAGCTAGATGGGGTTGGATACAAGCTCGTCCATTTGCTATTTGATATGGCTTCCAGTCCGTGTCCCCCAGCAGCAACCAGTGGTGGTGGTTGACCAGCTCAGGTGGCCCTACCAACATTTCCCAGAAGCCGAAGGCACTAACAGCCTGTGTGCAGCCGGAGAGGCAGAGCAGCAGCCACAGCACCATGTAACCTTATTGCACGTTCACCTCCACCTCCTTCCCATCCTTTGGCAAGGTTTATTTAATATTTCACCCTGTTTTTCAGGCTTTGTTCGATTTCATGCACCATCATCAGTGACATATTCCATATTAGCTTGAATAATGATACAGAAATTAAATCAATAGGCTTTGCCTAACAAATAGAAAGGCCCCATCATACAAGGCCAAGTAACATGAGTCAGGGATGTCACCCGATTACTGTGCTGCTTTGTGAAAGAAGGGAGGAACAATTACCAAATTCAAGGAGTAAAACTGAGAAAAAAAGGTCAAATTTCAAGAGGATCCTCGTTCTTGTGTGAGAGTTCGGAGCTGGGAAGGAAGCGGGAAGCTGCTGTGCAGCGCATGAGTACTTACCTCTTCACATAACCACCCTCTGTGCACCCACCACAAACCTCTATCCCTGCAAATGCCCCGCTCGTGCCCCGTTTCTGGAAGATAAGGGAAGCAGCAGCAAGGTCTGCAGCACCACAGCCCTGGGAAGCTGAAACCAGGGTGGCCAGTATCAACCCTACTTCAGATGCTGAAGGTCGCTGAACCAAGCTGAGACCCACAAGTGGTCCCCAGGCTCAGGAGATGTCAGGCACCAAGTAAAATCCTACCGAGCTGTCAGCAGGGCCTTTCCTTTGTCTTTTGCCTTTCATAAAGCTTTGTTTTAATGCATAAAACAGCTACTTATTTGATATTATTTATTCACCAGAGATGCCAAGTTCCCTTCCCACACCAGCATGCCTTCCAAGAGCTCCAGGTCCTGCCTCTTCCCAGGAGCATTGAGGGAAACGGGAGGAGGCAGAGGAGGGATGGGTACAGCGGGCAGTGTGTGCGCTCAGCCCCTGTTGCACGGGTCTTGCCAGACCACGAAAGCCAGGTTTTTGGCAGATATCAGATAATGCCTACCCTGGAAGCGTTTCTAAAAGGTGGACTTCAGAAGCTGGAATGGCAAATGTATACCAAAAAGAACAGCAATCCACATGAAAATGCTTCCAAAACTACCTCCCTGTCTCTTGATAGCTCTCTGACCATGGGACGAGTGCTGGGGGCTGGGGGGTCCCCCTGCTCATGGCCAGCAGCACTGACCCCAGCAGCCTCACGATCCCTCGGGGGGGCCTTTGCAGCACCCCCGCAGGTTTCCCCACCGCCACACACCCCGAACGGGTACTGCCAGGACCCGGGTCACCCCACTGCCCGCCTCAGGCTTGTGCTTTGTGCCGAGCACTTCTACTGGCCTTACAAGCAGCTCTCGCCAGTGAGTGCAACTCATAGCAGAGCAGAGAGAGGGTGGCTTCGCCCTGCCCGGTGCCCCTGTGGCACAACAGCCGTGGGGCCAAGGGGGGTCTTCCCCCGGCCGCGGGGCGGGGCGGGCCCAGCGGCTCGGCCCCTCCTGCCCTCCAGCCGGCATCCCTCTGGGTCGCTTCCCACCACATTTGTTGTATCAGCACTCAAGTGCCTAATGTTCTTCTGGTGAGTATCTGGCAACGTAACCCATTCTCCTCTTATGACTTTTAGCTTATGTCAACAATTTATTCATTTCCAAAAGGCAAGCAATTTTCCACCTTAAAAAAAAATACGTCTTTTCCACCGCCTTCAAGACCTGTGTGTACCAATGGATGGATGCTCAGCCCTGGCCTCAAATGCAGCAAACTAATTGTGTTTCTTCTCAGCTCTTGTGCTTGGCACATTGCCAGGGTGACGCAAAGCAATGAGAAATAAATTGACTCAAAACTTGGCCGGAGAGCATCAGCAAACAGAGGGTTGAAAACTCAGCTTGATTTATTTTATAGAGAGGCAAAGGACAAGAAATGCAGTGTTATTCCCAGTTGTGGTCCTGGCAAACAGTCCTCAAAGCCCATGCGAGAGCAGAGCTGCCGGCTAGGCTGGGCAGCCATGGCCCCGGCGGCCGTCTGTCAGGGGAGCGTTGCTGGGAAGGGACGACATGACACTAA